TGGGCTCCTGCATGAGGCTGTTGGACAGGAGGTGCAATACCAGCTTGGGCCAGGTGAGGATTGCCAGCACTCTTGTAGCATGAGGCTGTTGGAGAGGAGGTGCCATACCAGCTTGGCTCAGCATGGTGAAAAGCCTTTCAAAGCCACCATTGCCCTGCTGGCCAATCCTGGGATAGGCATGTATATCATGAGTGTTCTATACACAAATGAAAATTAAGATCAGAGCAAAAGAAAGATTCTAAGCAATGCCAAGTCTCAAGGCATTGGTCAAATGCTGCAGCATGTGTTGCTGGTTCACCCTCCTCCCAGCCAACCTCCTCTCTCTTGAATTGAAAGGCCTGCCATTCTCAGCTGCCCATGCAAAAAAACGGTCCATGCTAGACATTGCTCTCTTGGGCCTTGACCTCCAAGAATAATAGCCATATTGACAAACAATCCCAGCGCACCCCTTCTGCAGGGAACAAGAAACCAAACACACCAACGCACCTTCTGCAGGGGACAAACAAAACCAACCCACACCCCTTCTGCAGGGGGAACAAACACACCAACACACTCCTTCTGCAGGAGGCAGACAAAACCAAACACAGCCCTTCTGCAGGGATACAAACAAACCCAAGCACACCCCTTCTGCAGGGGAACAACTAAACAGGTTTGAAAAACAGCAAGGCCCTTCTGCAGGGCTGATCTAAAACTGTTCTGCAAACACTTTTCCCTCCCCAGATCTGATGTTCATTCACCAGCTTACCCCTAAATGCTGCAGGATTGCTCACTTGCCACCACTCTGAAGTTTCCAAGCCTTGTGCTTGGTCACAAGGATGATCTCCCCAAGCTTCTCTTCAGAGATCTGTGTGTACTTGTTCAGGTCATGGATCACTTTGCAACTCAGCTCATCCAGGGCTTGCTTGGAGATAGTCTTGTGGCCAAAGCAAAAGATCTGACCCTTCTTTTGCCCATCCTCATACTTTCTCACTCCATATGTGTTGTTGTTCTTGTAGTATTCCTTCTTGAAGGTGGTGATGACTTGCTTGGGCTTGGCGTCAAGCTTCTTCCCACCATTGGCCTTAGGCTTTGTAGCCTTAGGCTTTGTTGGAGTCTTAGGCTTGGCTGGAGTCTCAGGCTTGGCAGCCTTCGGCTTGGTGGCCTTAGCTTCACTGGCAGGCTGTGGTGCATCTCCAGCTGTGCTGCCATCACCCTTGCTGCCATCCTTGAGGCTGCTAGACATGGACTGGTCATCAGAGTTTTCCATGGTCAGCATTTTGAGCAATTCCTGCACCCTCTCCAAGGCAGCAGGGTCACATTTTGCAACCAGTTGTTGGTACTTCTCTGTCTGGTGCTTTGCCCTCCTAAGGTGGTAGAACATAGTGGATAGCCTCTCAAAGCGGCCCCCTGCCCATGTCAAGTTCTTCATGGAAGATGTATTGATCTTTGGCTCCAACCCTCAGGTTGGTGAAGGGCAGCAGTGTATGCAAACATCATTCCACACAGAAATTTGACAAGCAACCAGAAAAATATCTACAGAAGTGCCAAGAATCCAACAACCTTGAGGATGGCAGCTCTAACTTGAGTCAGCAAAAATTGCCCATTGGGCTGGATGCTCAGAAGTGCCTTTAACAGGTCCTCACTTGTCCAAAAAGTTTTGTTGCCACCAGTATTTCCCTGCTATAGGCTAGGAACTTGGGTGCAAACAGCCAAAATGCTGATTAACACACAATCAAGTTGCGTAATGCTTAGCCAAGGAAGATCCATTGGCTGCCTGGGCCTTTGACAACCTCTCATAATCATCCACATCAGCCCATGACTTGTTGGCACTCATGGCCACATCAAGAAGGCTTTGGTCAACACAGCAGACCATGGTACCAATTTAACACTTCACTACTGCCAGCTGGAACTGTGAAAGGCAACAAACTTCCTACTTGGGTGGTGTTTCTTGAGCAAAGCCCGTCTGCAGGGTGCACTTCTGCAGTGGTGTTCACTCATCCATGGTTGCCATAAATGCTACACAGGCTGCTTGCTTATGGAAAAACAAGTTGTCATCCTTCTGCAGGATTCATTCTTTGTGTAAAAACACAAACTTGAATATCAATATTTCTTTTTCGAAAACAACTTTTGAGTATCAATATTTTTTGTCTTAAATATTGATATTTTGAAGAACTCAAACATAGCTATAACAAGAGCTAAAATATCAATATTCACGGCCAATATCAATACCCAAAACCCTGGATCAGAAAAAGTTGATCCCGGATCCTCTGGGACTGAACATGAAGCAAATGTTAAATTTTTCTCCCCTTGCATCGCTTTTGCTACGAAAAAGGATTTCTCCTTCACTTGGCACTTTTCAGCCAAGTACTGCACAAAAGTGTCGTTTCCAAACGTGTGCAAAGACTTTGCTATCAATTTCTTTGCTTCAGGATCTCGCTGGGCCAGGAGTGTAGTGGATCTCTGTTTTTCCAGGCTGGTCGCTTCAACTTGCGCCACCCACCTCTTTCCAGAGCCCATGCCAAGACTTTGAGAAACGCAGGATGTTGATCGCGAAAAGCTTCGGAGCCGACCATGGTGGCCACAGTCGGCGCTAAGCCGACCATGGCAGCCCAGCGGCCCGGAGCCGCCGGGATAAGTCGGCGCTAAGCCGACCATGGTCGCCCAGCGGCGCGAAGCCACCGGGCAGAGTCGGCGGCAAGAAAGCCATCAGCGCAAGCCACCATGGTGCAGAGTAGAAGCGCCGCGTCAGAGTAGCTGCTTGAGACATTTGCTGCTGTTGCAATGCAAATGCTGCTTCTTGAGCCGATTCACGACCGCGGCCTCAAGCCTACTTAAATTGATTCGATTCTTATTATTGTAGAAATTTTCTTACTCTTAAAGTTTTAAATTTAGTTTAATGATGTTTAATGAAACATTAAAAAATAGTCACTTATTGTCTTAACCTGTTATTGCCGGCGATCATGAGATTCACATGTAACAATGAGTGACAATGACAAGAGTGAGTGACATGCAATGTACCAATTCCAAATGGGCCCCTGAGCCCCGAAGCAACAACAGCAAGCCGAATGACGTCCCAGCACCCACGGTTCACGACGCAGAAGGTTCCAGGATGCGAGTGGCAGCACCCAGGGCGCCAAGAAATCGGAACCCATTTGCACACAGCATAAGCCAGACCACATCGCTTGTCAGCGCGGCCGCCCCAATGTTTTCCGCCCTTTGGTTTTCCCCTGAACACAAACTCCAGATTTCGGGCGCCGGTAACAAACTGCGCACCTCTCCCAGCCCCAGAGCCGCATTCTGCCGTTGAGAATTCCAATCAACCAAATCCACGTCATGGAAAGAGACAGAGAGAGAGAGAGATTGTTTAAACATGAAAGGCCTTCGAGGAGAATAACTGACAAAAAACTTCTAGCCAAAATGACGGGGATGGCTACTTCAATAGCACTCGGAATCCACTGTTTGATTACGTTTGATTTTGGTTTGCGCCCACCATCACAAATCCCAAAAGTTGCGATTTTCCACTTTGGTTGGCCAGGCAATTAAGGAGCCATGGATGCAAGAAACGCGGGCCCCAAACCGGCGTTCATGAGCCCCTCGCGAGGGTCTCAGATGAACACCGATTTGGGGCAGCCTGAACCCAACAGAAAATCCCCCACACAAACATGCCCCTCAACACCTTCGGCGCAGGTGACCCAATTTTAGGCGAGAATTCAGCCATTGGGAAAAGGGGAATGGGTCGCAGGTTTGTTGAATCTCAGACAGCAAATAATGGTGGCAAAAGTCAATCGCTAGGCTTAAAACACTCATGGCGCTTCGTTCAAAAACAGTCTTCACGGCAGTCAATGTCGGCTCTCAACACTAAGAACTGGGCTCGTTCGTCACTTCAACATCGTACCAAGTAACACCATCCACCTGCAAACTGCGCATACGTTGGCGATCGAAACCAGCCGAGGTCAACTGGGCATACACAGACCGTGTGAATCGCGCAGAGCCCCTTCACAGGCACGCGGCACGCTTCTAAAACGAGACTTGCGCAATGGGTTCTTTCTTTTCGCAGTTTTGCTCTATTAACTACTATATAGGCACTTGGCCGCAGGGACCAATAGTGGAATCTATCTCACAAAATAACATCGCAAGGAGATATTCCCAGGAAATGCCCGCTGACACAAGGTTTTCAAGATCAGGTCAGTCCTCGCACACTACAAAAGCTGCAGACTCACAGCCCCGGAAAAAAACAGGCGCCTCCTGATGACCAGAAAGCTCAATCTTCACAACCATCGTCGCTGCTTGGCAATCAAGATTGGATCCTTGACGCCTTTTCAATTTTACAAAAATCACCACGTTCGTCATCGTTCATCCATATATCTATAGAACCTAGGAACTCAAGCCGTTTTCTTCTCAACTAAAGTTCTATGACATGGCTAAGTGAGCTCTATACCTGTGGCACAACCGAAAAAGACTGTTCTGCGCCAGATACGATCAAAGTTTTCAGAAAGCGCTGCAGCACGGCTGTGCCCTCAAGTCATGACATTTCACAGAGCCGCTCAACGCCAAAACCATGCGCCAGCGTTCCGAACTCTTTTTCTACGCATCGAGCCCAGCACGCCTCCTTATAAATAAACCCAAGCCTGAGCAAGAACTTCGACGCACTGAGGGACGCAAACCAAGCCACGCCAATGTCAAGCATCGAAAGGCTAGGGCGTTGCCCAGCCAAGTCTCCCTGTCAGTTGGCATTGAAGCCTGAAGCTGACTAATAGCTCGTGTGATTGTCACGCAAGGAGGCTCTCAGGCCCCGTCTGGCCATGTTGAGGAGACCAAACTCCAGATCCTTCGCCGATCTCAACGAAACCGATTGTCTTGGGAGGGTCAATGATCTTCTCCAAGCTCTGTCGACAAGAGTGTCCTCGCCCAAACAAAAGGGCACCAACAGAAACAAGACCTGCGTGAAAGAAGTTGCGTCATCAGAGCCCACCCGTCACGCGCAAAAAAACTTTCAAAATCAATTCACTCGACAGAGGTCCCTCCCAGTCAGACAGTTCCACAAAGCAACACGCGTCGCCTGCAAACGAGGCTAGGAATCCAAGCTCTAAGTTTAAAGACGTTTAAAGGCTACCTGTTCTGACCAACAAGAATGCTGCGAACCGCCTCAAATGTTCCCTATATTCTAGGGCACCTTCGAAGATGCCAGAACCAGCTGCGGGAAAAGCTACACCGGTCGAAGTGCTCACTATGCGAGCTCCAAACCATCGCCAGCTCCTGGCTCTCCTCAAAAGACCTGCGTGGCCAAGCCACTTCAGCACGACTCTGCAGAACAGGAGGTCTGAAAAAGGAGCCACAATTGCTTCCTCAATCAATGTGCGTTTTGGATTTTCCCACGACATCGATTAACGCGTATTTTGAAAGCCACTCTTGCAATGAATTAGCGCCCGCTGGCTTGATCACTCAGCAAGATAAGAATCCTCACACGCCGAAATGAAGGGTCAGGGCCTACGCTGTCCTCAGGTCAGCTTCTGAACCGAGACCAAACCAGTTCAGGTTCGCACCCCAACCAAAAAACCTAAGACTTTTCAGGACCGGTCGCACAGCTTTAGCGCGGACAAACGAACATTCGTTCCTCAAAGACAATTCAGCTATTATGTAATACTGATGAAACCGTGGTGTGTCTTTTTGATGCGCCAAACGCTGTCTCTTTGGCAGCTTGTCTATTGGTTTGCTGCGTTTCCAATCCTTGATCTAAGCCCTGCTGCGATCAAAATACGTTAGCTGCTGCGCGCGCCACTGAGGACACACACAACGCTTCAAGAGGCACGGTGTTCACAGCTCGTCAAACCAATAGAAACACATCTGGTGTGGACAGCTTCGTCTCAAGGTCAAGCTCACTTTTCTGCCAATAACGAATCCGTCCTAGCTGTACAAATTCCGCAACTGCTTTGGAACAGCGTCTACTCGTCTTGACCAGCCAAACCGCACATTCTCTGGAGACTGTGCTGTTTCACCCTTCCAAAAAGCGGTCAAATGGCTCAGCAGAATCAAGCTTTTTGAAAAAGTTTGGAATATTATAACAAGCATCTTGACCCTGCTGCAAATTCAAAGCTAGTCTTGGGCAGTGAAGTGTCCTTGCGTGTGCAGTCTGCAGTGGAAATGCATCCCTGCAGGTGTTTCACGCGCAGTATTTTCACCTTGGATCCTAGTTGGTGGTCTGCCGCGCTATAAGAATGGATAGATGAGATGAGTGAGTAAAACGGCGTTCTCTAGGCGACTACACTTAGCAGGAACCACACGAAACGGCTGCAGAACTGGTTATCCAGGAACTCTGCGCTGCACTGGTCGCGCCAGTCTTTGTACATGCGACTATTCAGAAACATTAACATCGCACTGCGTTCACCGGGATGGCCTCGCAATCATAGCCGGCGACATCAGGCAACTGAACGCAACTGGTACATATACTTGCAGTGGCCTCCTCCGTGCGCCTCAAGTCGCCTGCCTATTCCAAACAAACTGACAGTTTGCTCTAAAATGCTCACACCCAACGCAACTAAGCCTAAACCCGCGAAGCTCGCAAGTTTAAATAAAGAGGCTTGCAGAAGAGGCCCCCCAACACAGGTAAGGGGCCCACGGAAAGAGAGAAAAGAGCAAACTTACGCGAAAATGATGCATGTTTTGCACTGTACCTGCGAGTAACGCGAAATTGCCTAGAATCTTATGGAATCCTGACGCCGCCTATACGGCGCATGGTGCACACGGTCAGAGCGTGCACTCGGCTCGCTTGCCCAAGCGTCTGCGCTCTATCCTTCCTTGAAGCTCTGCGTTCTCACCACTGTGCTTCAGGGATTCGTTCATGCACCAGTTCGTTCTTCTTGAGTCTCGTTGATCTTCTCCTCTACCGCAACTTCAAGCTGGGTTGCTTGCCATTGCGTTTTCACATTGTCTCGACCTTCTTTGTATGGTTGCTGCTCTGCCTGATTCTTTCTTCGTCTTGTTCTTCTTTCCTTTCCCTCCTGACCCTTGTGCCTGCAGCCACGCTCTCTTCAAGAATAAGAAGAACTCGTCTTCCACAGCTCCTCTGAGTACTTTTCTCTGAAATCTTGCTTCCTCGGCTTTTGCGCCAAGCTCGCCAGTCCCTGAGCATCAGTTTTCCCACTGTGCTCCGACTGGTTCCTCTCCTTTGGAACTGGCGGGGCGGGCGGTGTAGGAATCTTTGCTAGTTTTGGGGGGAATGAGGGGTGGGGATGGGCTGACGGGTAACAGCACTCGGTTTCCATTCTGTTGTTGGAAGACTGATGATCTGGGCATCATGTCCACGGCGCACGAGGGAGGGGTTGCTTATGTTTACGGAGCGAAAAGCTTGCCGACTTTCATGTCTACGTAACAAAACATGTGGCAGTTCCTGCGCGTTGTTTAACTAATGGCATTCATTGCTCGGGTCTCTGGCGCGCAACGGCGCGCCCGCAAATGGCAAAGCTTGAAGAAGTTGAAGAAGTACATGAAGTACATCCCCAAAGAACTTGCCCCCGTAACTATGCTAGACTCAACAGCCAGATCAGGGAGCGCGTGTACTCGTTTGCGTGGCAGGCGAATACGTGCGACCACTTGAAAAAGCTTGGACAGCCGGCAGCTAGCGCCTTGCGTTGAAAGAGTTGCATTTTGTTGTAGTGGGAGTCGAAACTCATGTTCATCTTACAATCCCATGCGTTGCAAACAGGACAACAACAAACTTTCAACTTTCTATTGTAAAACGCAGCGCGTCTACTGCCAGACAGCTGGAACGCTGTAAGGGTCACCGAACGTTCATCGCACCTTGGAAGAAGCGCCCGTCTCGAGCAGGGTCGTTGCGGGCGTGACTCGGCGTGACCTTGTTTTTCGTGGCAGCGCCGTTTGCCATTACTTGGCAATTCTCGGCTGTTTTTTGGGGGGACACGTCATAGAGTACTGCATTGCGTCGGCAGCGTGGCCTCCAGAGATGGGAAGCTGGGCACGAAGCTGTGAAGCAGCGATGCGGAGGCATCGTCATCGTCCAACAGTGACGCTTCCAATGTGTTCCTGGAGTTTGGAGCCAATACCTACCTTGCCACTTGCAAGGGAGCACTTATTTCCGAGCATGTCATTCGTTTCGAACCTGTGAGTGTGCTCATGAGCCTTCCAAGTATACCATTCATTTTGTGGACGAAATTGCACCACCTATTTCTTGATTCAATGTTCTTTTTGCATGAGAACGCGTCTGCAGTGTCTCCCCGTGGTGTCCTCTTGCGGGCTCCCACAGGTACAAGCCTGACGCGCCGAGCCCAGGTCGGCCTCTGGAGTGGATGGGATGGTGGCCCCAAAAAGAGGATGCCCCTGATCCCAGAAGTAAATTGCTTTTGTTGTAAGAGTTGGGGTGCTTCATCACTGACTTTCAAAGCCTCCTCGAACCCTCCATAGTGACACGTGTATGATAGATAGCATTTTAGCAAGGCCGCTGCGCCGTGGCAACATGGGCTAATTGAAAGATTCCGCTGAAGAAGCGAAGACACGGAGCTTCAGAGCTTCACAACAATTCCGGGACGCTGCCAACACGGTCGAAAATTCCTACATTTTGGAGTTGTCTTGTTTTTCTGTAATCTTTTGTCGCATAATAACAGCTGCCACAATTTGGTCCGCGACTAAAGTCAAGGCTGAAATTCTTAGATATGTCAACGTATACCTCGACAAGTTTCGAGAAGAAAACAATAACAAACCGCGGGAACAAACTGTTCACACAAATCCAATGATACAGGCAGGATGAGCAAAGAAGATCATCCTTGGCTTGCTTCAGTCATTTTTCCTCCGTCTTTGGGCCCATCGGATTGTCTTCGTCTTGTTGCATCAGGGTCTGGGCTCAAGCCTTAGTATCTAATAGTCACTGTCCCTGCCTCCGATGGCCAGGGGAGCTGTGAAGGCCACAAATCTGACCTTGAACAATTCTTCTCGTATGGAGAGAACATGTTTGTTGTTTTTGTGTTCCAATTCTACAAGCCCACGCAATGCCGCTGCAATGCCCACGCCAACCCCTCGCCTCGGCCACACTGAAGAAGCATCAGCAGGCCAACCTTCACTAATCGACAGGCTTGGCGGGGCTTTGCAGCATGTTCTTTTTCTAGGAGCCAGGTGAAAAAGACTACAGGAACAGTGAGCTGAGTCAAAGAAACCATGTAAGACCAAGCAGTATATGGAGGGAACTCAGCAAAGCTGCCTTGAGACAAAGCTGGTGATCCGTCTGCTGCATCAGCTGCAGCAGCAACCATGTCTGCCACTGATAAAGATACTCTGGGATCTTGCTCAGATGCAGCCTCCTGAAAAAGGTGTGCATTGTTCTCTTTAAGCGAAAGTTTAGTGAAGACTTGAAAGGCAAGAAGGCTTACCGATTGGGGTTGCATCTTCGCCGGCGCAGACACCGGGCTGCAGTTGCTGCTGGAAATACCCCGCGTCACCTTGGGCGCACCAAGTGGGTGCGACTGCCCAACTCAAGAGTCCAAAGAAGTGGAAACCTCACTAGCAATCCCCGCACCTCTGACTTGGGAGGTGACAGCAACGGATTAGTTGCACCTACCAGATGAGAAAGCCACTGAACATGTGGAAAGTCAAAAAACGAATCGGAACCATTCTGAACGGCCCAACGCAGGTGAACATTTGGCGGCCTGTGGCAGTCGTGGCCTCGCAAAGCAAGCGCACATACCCTTTCCCTCAGGAATCTGACACATAGGCGCACAGGTCATGGTGAAAGCAACTTTTGTTTTTTCGCCACGCATTTTTCAGTCAAAGAGAACCCTTTTTGTTGCGGGTATCCTATGTTGCGCGAAGTCGAAACCTCACAGAGCCACATGCTTCTACAAGGCCGACAATGTGGGCTGCAAGAACTTAGATGTAATTGGCCCACCGCTGGTAAAGTTCAATGATAATGTGACTGGTAACTCAACTTCTTTGATACGTTGCTCGGTGACGACATCACTGATGAGTTTTACCAGGCAGCTGGTGATGTCTGCTCCGATTGCTCCTACACAGGAGCGAGTGGACAGCAATTGATCAAACTGAAGGCAAAGGCCGCAGAGCTTGCCTTTCGATTTGCCACATTGCCAAGCGCAGCGCAAACCTCCTCTGGTCTTTGATCGCCAAGTCTCCTTTCTTGCGACAGCATGGTTTGTCTCCATACAGAGACAAACAGCAAAAGTTCAAACAAATTTCGCCGACCTGAGCACATCGATTAAGGAGTTCCGTGGTAAGGCAGTCAAAGCAGCCAAGATTGCCTGCGCAACCCTTCTCAAACAAGCAGTCCCAGTTCCTTCCCCGCTAAGATAGCAAGTTAGGAACAAATAGTCAGCTGCACATATACTGTACGCAGGATGCTTTGGGAAATGATTTTGCCCGTAAGGATTCTTGATTAGCCGGCTCTGCAAATTTTCTGAGTTTGCTCTACATGGCTCTCAGCTGCGAACATTTGAGGTTATTTTCGTACCCGAACCTAGAGCCAAGCAAATTAACAACACAGTTTGCCCTGATCAGTGGCAATCTCAGCTGCGGCTTGGCTTGGATGTGGGACTTTAACGCCCAACCTTCACGTTTTGGCTTTCTGCTGTTCAAGAACGCACCGTAGTTTTCACCCCACACCCAGTAACAAGTGCCACGCTACTAGGAACAAGTGCCTTACTACTAGCAACAATATAATTTAATTAGAATGTAATTAGTAGCTTCTTGTTACTACCAGAAAGGCACTTGTTACTACTAGTAAGGCACTTGTTATAGTTCTTTGTCCTCTTCGTCCTGTTCGTCTTGTGTTTCCTCTTTGTCCTCATCCTCCGGAAAAGCTCTGCGATTTTCTGGTAATAACGCGTTGGCAAAACTCGCCCGGGCCTGGGGCATAGTTGGTCCCCTTCATCTTGTTTGTCCTCATCCTCTATCGGATACGCTGGAATCAACTCTAGGCTTCAACCAGCGATCATGTCCCCAGAACTGTTCTATCTTTTTGTTCCAGTTTCGACAAAATAGACTTGTTGCAGTTTATATGTATATCACATATATAAATATAACATATATGGTTAAATCCCCGTTGCTACCGACTATAGAAGTTCACTCCCTAATTTTATCCGGAAATTGGTTAAATAGAATTACTTTCACACACCAGAGGTCTGCAAAAGTCATTTAATCTGAAACGTGAAAAAACAAAACAAGTGTCTCACAATGTTCTCTAAAACAACTGGCTATTCTGACAAGTTTGCAAATCCATCCGCACCAACAATTCTATTTAAGACCCATTTCAAATAACCCCTGAACTACGTACATTGCGTACATGAGTCAAATAAACTGGGTTTTCCGTGGTCGACCACACTCAGACTTGATAGCCGGTAGCAACGGGGATCATATTTGTATTGTTACATATTATGTAATGCGAAGAAATGTAATCGCACTCGAGGTCGACAAACCAAAGCGAGACAAGCGCAGCCGGAACGCCGCGCGCCGCGAAGCCTTTTCGCGAGCAGTGACCCACCCGCCTTGAGGTCACAAGTGCGGCGGATTCGAAAATCATGTTCCTGAACAGTTGGCGGCGAACGACGGACTGGTTCCTGCCCTGTGAACAGCGTTCACTTCACATGGGGGGAAGCTCTTGTCCAAAAGTCGACGCCGGCACCGTGGAAATCACTTCTTCAGCAACCAAACCATTGGCTTCCAGCCAAGTGATGATTGCCATGCGCAAGGAAGATCCTCCAGACACGGCCACATGGTCGGGAGGAACAATGCGGGAGCTGCGCAGGGCACAAGGGTGGAAAATGTCCACATTCCGAGCATCACGGCCCTCGAGCGAGCTACAGCTTGGGTCGATATGCAACTTCTTTCCGTTGCGGGCAACGTAGATGCCGCCATGAAGTGGGCATTCCAAACGATGCTCATCCATCTCTTTTAGACAGCGGCGCAAGATGCTCTGTGCTCGATACAGCAGCTCACCACCGTATAGTTCATGTTGGCAATGGCCAAGTCCAAGGATTTCCGGCTTTCTCGAGCCGAACTCTGAGCTTCCATGGAAAACACGTGCTGGCGACCAAACTCAACACCGTAATCACCATGGTGGTGAAGGAGTCATCAGGGAGGTCCTCAGGAGCAGCCATCGCAGTCGTTGGCAGCAGTATCAAGATCATCGCCCACCAGAGGAGATTCTGCAGGCGACTCATGGTCACATACTGCATGCGGCGCACGACATGGCATGGATCAGCGCTGCCATCATCGACAGACTCAAAGGTCTCTTCATGGGGCAGGGCATACTCAAACATTTCCATCAAGTAAGACACTGTGTCCTCTATTACAGCCATGCTGACAAAGGCAGGGTGTCATGTTCTCCAGGGACCATGTCATTCTCTTCCACATGCTCATCAACCGGCGGCAGGTCGTCTGAGGGCAGCACTCCCTAAGCTTCCGAGAAGACAAAAAACCTGGCTGGCAGACAAAATTTTTGATTCTGAGCTCCCAGAAGTCAATTTGGGAAGTCAAGATTTATGTCTGCCAGACAGTTTTTTGACTGGCAGCCAGGCTTTTTGACTTCTTGCAATGGTGCAAACTTGTCTGCCAGACAGTTTTTTTTATCTTCTGGCTCCAAAAGTGTCTTCTGAGAGATGTCACATGTAGAAGTCAAAAATTTTGTCTTCTAGCAAGCTTTTCAGAAGACAAAAAACAACTTCTGCAAAGTCAATTTTTTTACTTCTAGAACTAGGCAAGGTTTTGCACTAGAAGACAAAAAAGCACTTCTTTTCACTGCTAGCAATTGGTTTTCATATTGCCATGGCCTCCAATATCATCTTGCCTGAAGCAAATGACCAGGTGAAAGCCTTATCCGCTTTGATCAAAGGATCAATACCACATTGCACTGTGGCTGATTTTCCAACAGATGTATACCAAGCCGGCAAGAGGCTGGTCACTTTCTTGGCCCTGTGGTTTGGAGCCAGCAGCAACAAGAAGCCTGAAGAAAGGCTAGCTTTCAAGGATGCTTGTCCAAAGCTGACAGGTTCTGAAGTCAAGCAAATTGTAAACAGTTTGCATGAATAGAAAGCTTGGCTCAAAAAGAAAAAAAATAATATGAAAACTGGTGAGAAAACCGACCCTGTGCTGAAAACACTTTTCCAAGTGATTTTCAAACAAGAAGAGCAAAGCCTGCAAAAGGCTGGGAGTGCTAGCAGCAGCACCAGTAAGCCTGCAACAAAAAGGATGAGGGGGAAGCAAGCACCTGGTCCAAGCAAAGAGGAAAGCCAGCCTGCAAAGGCTTCAGAAAGCAAGCCTGTGAAGGCTGTCAAATTCCTTTGGGACAGTGAGCCTGAGCAAAGCAATGAGTCAGAGATTGTGTCTGTCTCAAGCTCTGGCATTGTTCATGCATCAGAGCTGTCAGAAGTTGAAGAATTCGAAAAAGAAAACGAAATTCTGAAGAAGCCTGCGAAGGCTGGTGCTTCCAAAAAACCTGCTGCCAAAACTGTTTTGAAGAGGCCAGCAGCCAGCAAGGCAAAGGTAAAGAAAAAGCCTACAAAGGCTGAAGAAAAACTAGAACAGGGTGAAGAAGAGGCTGGGGCAGAGCCTGAAAAGGCTGAGGAAGAGCAAAGGGACAAGGCTGACAAAAAGCCTGCAAAGGCTAGGGGCAAAGCTTGGCTTCCTTCCAAAAGCTTTGGACTTGTCCATGAAACAAGGGCTGCCAAAAAAGCTTACATCCAAGCAAAGCCAGACATGGCTGGCAAAAAGTATTGCCTGGTGAATGTGGAGCTTCCCAAAGGGAAGCAGCAAGACGAAATAATGGATCAGCTCATTGAAAAAGCCTGTGAAGAAGGCTGGACAAAAGAAAGCTTGGTGAAATGCAAAATTGGGTTGCTTAAAGCCTGAAAAGGCTGAGAATCCTGCGCACTTTTGGCAAATGTTTTGATGAAGCCTGCCAAAGGCTATAGGCAGCAAAGGGATGCCTGCAAAAAATGTAAAGCAAAGGTAAGCCTGAGAAGGCTGCATGAAGCCTGCAAAAGGCTGTCAACCTTTGAATGGCCAAAGTGCCAAGCCTGATAGGCTGATTGTTTGTTTGCTCCAGAAAAATGCACCTTTTCGAATTCTGGTGCTCACAGGAATTGAACATCCTAAGTAAGTTTTGTTTGAACTTTTTGGCTCAAAAGTCAGAGGTTTGATTTTTCAACCTCACGCAATTTAAACATGCCAGCACACACACATATTCACACACACATGCACAGCCAGCCAATTGCACATACATTCACAAAGAGTGATTGGCCACTTTTCACACACATACACAGCTGACTACATATTCACACTTTCACATAGATTCACAAACACAGACTGACCACTTTCACATACACCTCACCACATACACATACCTTCATGATGTACTGACCATTTTCACACTCACCACACACATACAATTGAAGCTTAATTTCATGATGTTACTGACCATGTCACAAACACACAAAACTTTCATCAGTTCATTAACCATTTCACACACACACAACAAACACATCCACACATACACTACTATTTCACAGACACACCCTAGGGGCACACACACACCACTACATTTCACAGACTTTCACAGACGCACCCTAGGGGGTTTAAGTTGGGCCACACACAAGCTGTGGTGCATGCAGAAGCGAGCCATGACCACTCCAAGCCTGCAAAAAGGCTCAAAGCTTGAAAAAGGCTCAAAGCCTGCAAAAGGCTTGGCTCATCTGGTTCTTCCTCCTGTTCCAGATGCTGGCCCCTGCTGGGGCCTTCAGGTGGTGGATGGTCAGGCAATTCAACCAGAAGTACTACTTCATCCATGAGAATGGGTACTATGTTGAAATGGACCCTGACCATGTGGAAAGCCTGGAAGAGGCTTTTACCTACCATCCTGAGATGGCCATGTGCATCCACGGCCACTCACAGCTGTGGCAGGATGTGGGGCCCCACCCACCTGTGTGGGATGATGGAAGCCAGCAATGGCTGATCAGCAGGGTGGAGCCTGCAAGAGGCTCTTGTGTTGCCTGGGAGATTGACTTGGATGACTACAAGCCTGCAAAAGGCTGGTGGTGAGATTATTCAGATTGGGGTGACTGGAGAGATCAAGCCTGGAAAGGCTCATGGGATCATTGGCAAGACTGGGGAACCAAAGCCTGGAAAGGCTGTGACAAACCAAAGTGGAGTGAGGAAAGGTATGCCACCAGAGGCTACAGCTCTGCCACAAGGAGGCATCAAAAAAGGGCCTTGGAAAGGGAAGGCATGCCTGTGCCAGATCACTTGA